GGGGGGACCTTTAATAATAGGGGGAAACGATTAAGGCCCCTAGATTACCCTAGCTTCTAAACTCCCATGTGGCGGCCTTCATCGTCAAAGCCCTCCACGGTGGCCACATCTCCGCCACAGTAGTGCACACGATCACCGATGCTCAGGAGCCGGGTGCTGTTGCCTGGACAGTTATGGATATAGGGTTTAATGTAGGGGGCCTTAATGTTTAGAAACCCCCGGATCCCTAAGCCCCTCAGCCCCTTTGACCCAAAACCCCTAAACCCCCAAGCGTTAAGGCCCTGCAACCCCACCGAAACTAAACCTCCAAACCCCCGAACCCCAAATGCAGGGGCCTAAAAAATGACCAATTACTATTTTTTTTTTGGGGGGGGCCCTTATTCTAATTCCAGTATAGCTTGGGTTTAGGGTTTAGGGTTTAGGGTTTAGGGTTCAGGGTCAGTATAGCTTGGGTTTAGGGTTTAGGGTTTAGGGTTTAGGGTTCAGGGTTTAGGGCTTAGGGTCAGGGGACTCAGGGACTCACTGTTGATGATATAAATCCTGCATTACCCATAATAAGGAACATACCATACTTCCCATAGCTTAGGGTTCCTTAAGGTAGTGCAGGATTCATACCATCAGCAGTAGTAAGTCTGCAAGTACCTGGGGATGCAAGTGAACTAAATGCTATACCCACTTTCCCCTTCTCAAGAACCCTGTTTACACAATTCCCGGATCCTTTCAATGACCCCATGGCGTCCTAAGCAAAAGATGCCCCCTAAGCCCTAAACCCTTAACCGGACCAGGGGCAGCGGTACCAAGCAGCTTCAGAGCCGTCTGCACGACGAACGATGAAGTCGCCTCTGGAGCTTTCTTGACCGGGTCAGAAAAGCGAGTGCAATAGGGGCTTTAACAGAGTTTAGGGTTTAGGGTTTAGGGTGCAATAGGGGCTTTAACAGGGTTCCTTTCAGGGTTTAGGGTGTAGGGTTTAGAGTTTAGGGACCCGACATGACCGTACAAACCCCTTATAGAGACCCGTATCGAACCCTTGAACTAACCATATCCTACTTACGAAGGCCCAGTTTAGGAGCATGACAGCCCGAACCCTAAACCTGAAATTGGGCACCCTAGAGTTTTAGCGTTGTGCTTAGGGCGTAGGGCCTTTTCTGCAAACCCTAAACCCTAAACCCTAAACCATAGGAACCCTAAACCCTCAACCATCGGGCCTTTTTGTAAACCCTACATCCGAAATTGGGCCTTGGAGCTTTCAAGCTCGGTCTAGGGCTTTGGGTTTGGGGCTGAAACTCTCACATGGGCGCCGCCTAATGTAGGGGCCTTAATCATTACTATAATAAAGAACCCCCTAAAAAGTATAGGTAACTACTTAGGCCCTTATATTATATAAGCAATCCCAATGTTACAGCAACCTCCCCAGCGTACACTGCAGAGCTGTTTGGATAAGCAGTGAGTTGGTAAGCCTAGCAAGGGCAAACTGGCTTGGGGTGGCTCTTCCCAGTGCACTTCTACCAGAAAGCAGCAGTGTTGCAGGCTGTCACCTGAAACGGGCAACTCCCTACCACCTCAGCATTCTCAGACTGAGCCCGGAGGTAGCAGACACAACCTTGATTCTAGCCTACACTCCAAAACCCAAAGTGGCCCATGACCCGCCACTGCCACTTCCCAAATCAGGGACTACATCCCAGAGCCAAAAACCCTAAACCCTAAACCCCAAAACATCGAGTTCTCCAAGCCCTGAGTTCAGGTTCCGTTTTGGGGCTGCTCTAAGTTGTGCAAAGGACGAGACAGTTCTGGGATTTAGGGTTTAGGGGTTGAGGGTTTAGGGTTTAGGGGATCTACAGAACACCACCGGGTTCAGGGGGTATAGGGTTAGGGTTTAGGGTTTATAGGGTTTAGGGTTTTGGGTTCAGGGTTTGGGGCTTCATGAGTCAAGGAGCCATCGGCATCAAATCCGATCAGCTCGGCAACATCACCGCCGTTGTAGCCCACACGGTCTCCGATGCTGAAAGTCTTGGTGCACTTGGAGGCAAACCACACCTCAGGGTTTCGGGTTCAGGGTTCAGGGTTGAGGGTTTAGGGTTTAGGGTTTAGGGTTTAGGGCAGTTTATGAATCACGGTTTCTGGAGCTCGCATCCGTGGCCACGCAGCTTGAGTCGAGGGCTTACACGCTCACACGGAAGTGGGTGGTTGTCAAAATTATGGTCCCCTTTTTGGGTCCTTATTATAATACGGCACCTATTATTTAGGGTACCCCAAAAGGGACCCTAATTTTGACAGCCAGCCAAGTGAATCTTATCAGTCGCTGTCGTAGTCATGGCTGGATCATACCAGGGATACTACCCCTAAAACCTAAACCCTAAACCCTAAACCCTAAACCCTAAACCCTAAACCAACCAACCAACCAACCAACCAAGCGAAGCCCTTAACCCTAACTTTAGGGCTTATAGGGTTTGGGGTGCAGCAATCGTCGGTGTAGGGTCTCGGGGCTTGCCCCCCCATCCTCAGGGAAGCTCAAGCCGCAAACCTTCAACGCGCCTTCAACAAGGAATCGTGAATGACTAATGTAGGGGCCTTAAGAATTAGAATAGGGTTGTGGGTGATATTATACTATAGGTATATTAAAGAGCCACCCAAAAAGAAGATAGGTAATGATTTAGGTCCCTATGTTACCTTTTTGGGCCGACATGAGAGAGTGCGAGAAGCAGAGACCTTGCAAGCCCAGCCCCCCATGCCCCAGAGCTCTGACACCACAACAGGCCCTTTGTCATCAAGTCTGAATACTACTTGGAGGATCATGGGACTTAGCAAGTAAGGTTATAAGTACCCTAATTGAGGTTATACTTATAGCTACCTTATTTATAACCCTAGTAACAAAGCCCCATGATCCTCCAAGACTCTCCAGGACCCCTAACTATGAGGGGCCTGATGTTGGTACGGTTTGTAAGGTTCAAGAATCCTATATGAATAGTATGGTACTTCTACAGGCCCCTACAGTCAGCTATTATCCTAAACCCTAATATACTATGGTGGATCGGGGGCTTTTGGTTTAAGGTTTAGGGTTTACAGTTTAGGGTTTAGGTTAGGATTTAGGGTGTAGGGTTTAGGGTCTGCAGTTTTGGGTTTTAGGGCTTAGGCTTTAAGGTTTAGGGCTGAGGGCTTGGGGTTTAGGGTTTTTGGGCTTCGGATCTGGAACCTTTAGGGTTTAGGGTTCAGGGTGCAGGGTTCAGGGTTTAGGGTTTAGGGTTTAGGGTTTCCTGGGAGCTCGACACTGCAAAGCTTTGTAACCCTTCACTGAAACCACCCGAACCCACATTAGGCGGAACCCTACACTCTCAGGATACGATAACGGACCCCTAAACCTAAACCCTAAAGCCCTAAACCCAACAAAATCCTAAACCTAAAACCCTAAACCCTAAGAAGCCCTTCATCTGATACTAGGACCTTGAAGGAAGCCTAAACTGCAAAGATGAGCTACCCGGAGAGCCCAATACCCCTTAAATAAGAAATAGACCTTAAATTATAGGGGCCTTAACATTATGGTTTAAGGTGTATTCCCTAATCCAGGGCCTTAGACCCTAAACCCTAAACCCCAAACCCCTAATAGTCTGATTTGAGGTATGTTCCTTAATTAAGGGGTTTTTGGCTCTCTGGGTATGCTACAGTCTATTGTCGTATAATGTAATCAAAAATAGGGTCCCTTTTTCGGTCCCCATTATAGTACGGCACCCTTATAAAAAGGACCCCCAAAGGGACCCGAATTTAGAAAACTACCCATGTAATCCCTAAGCCCTAAACCAAAAGCCCCTAAACCCTAAGCCCTAAACCCCGAAACCCCTAAACCCCCCTAAACCCTAAGCCACGAAACCCCCAAACCCTAAACCCCAAGCCCCTAAACCCCTAAGCCCCTAAACCCTAAACCCTAAGCCCAAACCCCTAAGCCCCTAAACCCCTATAAACCCTAAGCCCTAACCCCTAAACCCTAAACCCTATAAACCCTAAACCCCTAGACCCTAAACCCTAAGCCCCTAAACCCCTATAAACCCTAAACCCTAGTGAAAGCTCATGAATCATCTCCCGAGGCGCCGCGGTTGAGCTGGAGTCCGCTTTAATCACACGGAGATCTCCATCCTCGTCGATGCCCACCACGGTGCCGATCTGCCCGCCTCATATAGGGGGGTTCCTTTTTAAGGGTTCCTTAAAGGGTTCTATAAGGGCTACTATAAGGGTTTAGGGTTGAGGGGCCTTAGGGGCCTTAATAATCAGAATAGGGCTTTGGTGGTATATTATAGTATAGTTATGATAGGGAACCCCCACGACAGTATTGGTAACTATTTAGGCCCCTATAATATTACAGTTTAGGGCTCGGGCTCATGGTATGTTGTTAGGGCCAGGGGCTTGCAGGCTTTAGGATTGAAGCTCCTCTCTGACCTAGTTTCCTAAACCCTAAACCCTAAGCCCTAAATTCGGTACCTATCAACCTAGAGACTCCAATATCCCTTAAATCAACATATATACCTTAAATTATAGTGGGATCCCTAATATGATTTAAGGTATATTCCTTAATTAAGGGATATTGGAGTCTCTGGGAAGCTGAAAGAGCGAAGTGCGGGTTACAGGAGCTTTCTAAGGCTAAACCCATGGGTCCCTAGTATGGGCCCTTAACCCTGGGACCCTCAGATACCTACTAGAGACCCTACAGGTACCCTTAAGGGTCCCTAGAAAGGCCCAAGGGTCCATATTAGGGGAGGCACGCGAGGCCAAAAGCAGTCTCAGGAAAGCTCACGGTGAAGATGATAAGTACTTCAAACCCGTAGGTGCTGATATGCGTATATAATTACAAAATTGTATGTCTACTTTTTTTATATACATATACATATATATATATATATATATATATAATATATATATCCGGATTTACGAAATTTCCTACATATATATAAATATATCCGGATTTACGAAATTTCCTATTCCCCCTACTCGCATTGACTGAGCTAAGACTGCGG